GAGGGGTCACTATGAGTCAGGTGTGACTCGACAGTACATAACAACAACAACAAGAATAAACTCCAGTTGCTGGGGACCGCAAGGACATTCCAGACACTAACAACTGGAAAGGTGCAATATTCCCCTTGCTATTCTTATATGCCACACCCTCTTGGTGAACAGAGGTGTGGCTATCCTTCACTCTCAACCACCCTCTGGGTGGGCAGGAATTCCATCCTAGTCTATGTGCTCTGATGGAGCCTGGGTGTTCTGTCGTGCCCCTGCCAGAGTTTTTTTATTATTTTTTTTTTTTCCTTTTTGTACAGTTTGTTTGTTTTTGTCTCTTTTAAAATTCTTTTTTTTTTGTACTTTTTATTATTATTCTTTATTCTTCCCTTCCCAAGTTCTAGTTTTCAGCTTTTTCTCGGTTCCCTGTTCCTTGATCCCATTTTTTTCTTTTTCATGGTTCTCCCCATTCTTTGTTTTTCTTTTTGCATTTTTACCATTTTTTTCATTATTCTCCTACTATCTTTTCTCTTATTGCCTCCTCTCTAGATATTGTGGGTTTTTTTTCTTTTCTTTTCTTTCTTTGGTGATGGTTTCTCTGTGTTTACAAGGTGTGTTTTTTGTCTGCTTCCTTTTACTCTTTTGATGGTTTTTCGATTGTTGTTTTTGTCTAACTGAGTGGGAGACAGCAACAGTGCCCATAGAACACAACCACAACCACACCTCCTGCAGCTCCACTTACTGAGTAAGAGCTACTTCCTTTTCCACCAACTGGACAATGATAAATGAGCACCAAGAAGAGCCTGACTCATCCTTAACTGCTGTTCACAAACAGTTAACAGAGATCTAAATACAACAATGTCACAATGTCTTGGAGACAACAGACAATTAAAGTCCACACAAAGAAGCAAGATAAAGTGGTGGAAACAAGGGAGCAGGATACAGACCCAGAACACATCCCTGAGGAAGAAGCAGAAATGGAATACCCTGATAAGGAATTCAAAAGAATTATACTTAGGTATCTTCAAAGGATTCAGATACAGATCAAGGAAAACACTGACAAAATCAAAGAAACACAGACAAAACCCTAGAACAATTTCAGAAGAAAATACAAGAACAAAATGACAAAATAAATGAAATATTAGAAATGATTCTAAATCTACAGATAGAAATTCAGAAAATTTATACTCAGTTTTCAGAACTAGATAATACATTGAAAGGGCAAAGGAGAAGAATTAAATCAATAGAAGACAGAATTATTGAGCTTGGAGACAAATACCTGAATACTTCTTTGGAAAGGGATCCATAAGAATAAAGATGAAAACAAAATGAAGAAAGCCTAAGGTTCATATGGGATACCATCAAAAGGAATAACATACTTGTAATTGCAATTCCAGAATAGGAAGAGAACAAGAAAACCACTGAGAAATTTGTCCAAGATTTGTTGGAAGAACACTTCCCTGATGTAATGAAAGATGAGAATATGTCTACTCAGGAAGTCCAATGAACCCCAAATAGGATAGACCTCAAAAGAAAATCACCAAGACATATCCTCATCAAACTCATCAAAACCAAAGACAAATAAAGAATCCTGAAATCAGCACAGGAAAAATGAAAAGTTACCCACAAAAGACAACCAATAAGGTTAAGCTCTGAGTTCTCAGCAGAAGCCATGCAAGTGAGAAGGCAATGGGATGGTACATATAAAACCCTGAAAGAGAAAAATTTCCAATCAAGAATTATATATCCAGCAAAATTGTCCCTCAAATATGATGGTGAAATTAGGAGATTTGCAGATAAGCAGAAATTAAGGGAATTTGTTTAAACTAGAACAACCTTACAAGAGATACTAAAGAGAGTCCTTTGAACAGAACCAACAAGAGCAAATAACAACCAATCATTAATACACAAGATGACATAACCCAGAAACCACAGCTATGGACATATCCAAAGTAAAATAAACTTACAAGATTGTAAACCAGGAATCAGAGACATCAATTGGCAAATGAGGACAACTATAAACAAAAAAAAAGAGGGAAAGAATAGTGTAGTAACAGAACTTCTAAATGACGAGGAAGTCAAAAAAGTTGCAAGATAGAATGGGCTGTTCTAAACTCAGGGAGAAAATTACAAATCACAGGGCAATCTCAAAGAAAAATGATAAACTTTCACCTCACAATAAAAAAGAGGACAAGCACAAATAATTAACAATTACTAAAACAATAGCAACAAAGGAAATGATAACACAATTCATAAACATAATGAGCTCAGCACAGAAAATTGTATGGAACAAAGCAACCAGGAACACCATGAAAAAACACATAACAAAATGACAGAGAGCAAACAATTCATACTTGTCAATAATTACACTGAATGTCAATGGATTAAATGCACCACTCAAGAGACAGAGAGTTGCAGACTGGATGAAGAAACATAACCCATCAATATTCTGTCTACAAGAGACACACCTTAGAGACAAAGACAAAAACAGACCAAAAATCAAAG